CAGGAATTATTAACACAAATGGACACAATACAAAGACAATCAATTGACCAAAACTTACGCAAACTTGCCGAAACCGCAGGATTTGCAGACATCTATACGCAAGACTATAGCGGATATTTTAAAGACATTAAAGATTATATATATCTAAACGGTGAAAAATACCGTCCCCAAGATATATCACCTATCAATATTTTTAGCTTTGTTACACTCAAGAATGAAATTCTTGATTTTCTAAGATGGCCCTACTACATCTTAGAAAAACTAACTATTTTATACGCAATGTTTAACTTTATTGGATTTCTTTTTTCACTCTTAAAAGGAATTTATAACACATGTGCTATACACACACAAGTCAATAGACAAGCAAGTCTAGCACGCATACTATTTGCAGGATTTTTTGGAATATTTTCTACATCTATAAACAAAATTCTTTTAGACGCACAAATAAAAGAATATAACACAAAAATAGCAACAAGACAGAACACATACGACGAAGAACATAACAATGCAGACACAATACCAACAGCACCACAGTTACCACCCCTACCACATAACCATCCATTATCCCTAGTCCCACGTAATTTTCGAAATTTAGCCATCACACATAATAATTTTAGACCAACCATATCACAAAGTCCCATCCAACATATAATGCCACACCACTCACAAGATGAAAATACTTATGAACAAATTATAGAACAACCCCATACCACCGCTTTTCAGTCTCAAAATAATAATTTTTTTAGCCCACGATGAGCCGACAACTTGGATCCCTACACCGATCAAATTCCCACCCAACCAACCTCACCACTCCAATCCCAATAATACCACTTTTTGCTTTTCCGCCACCCGATTTCCCATCCAGTAATGTAACATCCGGCATGAATTCCGATACTAATTCACACATCTCAGTTTTATACTCCATCTCACAACTCAATAACCCGAATATTGAAACCCCCGATGAATTTGCCGACTCCGAACCATCTCCATCAAATAATTTTCACACCAATCCCTTAAATTTTTCCCAACCCCCTTTTCAACCCATACTACCAAATAACCCTGACCCAACCAATTCTACACCCTCTTATGCTTCCCAAGTCACTCCAACCTACTCCTCACTTCACTCAAACCAATCATCTCATTCTTCAGACACCCCCCGAATCTCCCCAGAACTAGATAATTTCATTACCCTACAACAACAATCCTATCACCTTGACACCCCAACCATAAACCAAATCTCATCCACAATAGATTCATCCAACCCTCCTACCCCTACACCCTCTTCAATTTATACTGATTCATTAGCACCATCATCCACAACTACTGTATCTTCACTCAACACTAATAGAGCTTACCGCACTTTTAAAAGGAAGTTCCCCAACCATCCTTTCCCAGCGAAACCAGGAACAGCCCGTGAATACATCAACCATCCACAACACACTAACACAAAAGAATTTTTAGCTATCACCTTACCCTCATTTCCACAATACACCTTAAACACCCCTCATGACACTAACGAGACACGTAACTTTGTAGACGAATACGTTTTAATGCCTACCCTTCCTTGGACCTCATATTATCACTTTACAAATCCCCTTTGCTTACCTTTATCTAACACTCATATCGATATAGAACGAAATAAGGACATGCTATATCGACTCACTACACCACTAACACCTAGACAATTTACTTACATTGGATACAAAAAATCACTAAAAACACACACTGCACCCCGAGCTAATGAATATACACTAGAATATTACGATCATAACATCATCAGAACTAACCAAGATCAATTCTTAGACGACGATCGCTTCGCTAACCCACAAATCACCGAGAAATTTTTCATTAAAACACCATATGTATTTACACTAAATATCTTCGATCGCAAGTTTGACCACATTATCTCAGAAGCACTAACAGACACGCAAGCCTACGAAAGTTTTAAAGAACGCTTCCAAATCTTTTCACTAACCTTTCATTTCCTTGCACCACATGAAAGAGATTTGCACTGCTCACACGATATTATGTTGCGCACTAAACAAACACACACATATACTTATTATCGTTTCATCCAAAATCACTTTGACCTACACACTCCCTCCAGACAACCACACCATCGTTTTCAATTCATCAATTCCAAATACACCTCACCATTCTTTCTTAACTTCACATATTGCATTAAAGATACTAACCTTGATGGTATTCTTCGAAATTATGATCCCATAACCCAAATGTATATCTTTTGTCCCATCACCAAGACCTTCAACGCAGAAGAATCCCGACCCTTCCTCATTCCACACGAGTTTGTACAACCTATAGAAATCCCCATTTTAGAATTCATCCATAACACTAAATTCAACCACAAATTATATAATCTAATCCAAAACACACCTCATGAATTTGCAGTTGGCACTGAAGAACTAACCACCATTAAGGCACTTCAATTGCTTTGGCCACTGCTTCAAACTAAAAATATCATCCGCATATTAGCCAAACTACTAACAACTTCAGATCTCATCCACGACATTTTCCCCCACGGTTTCTTCCCCGACGACTAACAGGTAAGTATGAATTATACATATTACTAATTAATTCAAATATTAGAAACTCACCATTCTTTATCCATGTTTTCTTTAGAATTCTAGCCTTCATCCTAGATCATCTGAAAAATTCACAAAAGAAAAATAAAAAATAGCAAACTTCTTCAAAACTGTTTAAGACCCTATTAATTTTTTGCACCAACAATTAAACAAATATAATACCAATGCAGTAAATTAATTTATAAATTTTTCCCCCACCAGCAGTAAATCTAATAATGATGAAAATTTGTAGCTTAATTTCCCCCAACAACTAGCAGTAAAATTAAAATTCTATGTAGTAAATTCATAAGAAGCAAAAGCAGTACTAACCTTTTGATATTTTCATTCACTCGCACAAGAATTCTATCCAAACTCGCACAGCTCGCCCACGAAGAATTGTTTAAAATAATGAATTTCAGTTTCAAGCTTTCACACTCGATAACTCTAACACAAGATAACACGTTTCAAACTTTCCTTTAACCCGGTTGGAATTGAATTATATACTAAACAAAACTAACCAATGCAGCTTACTAAACACCACAACACATAGCATAACAGCATGACTAAGAAAAGGAAACCAACGGTACCCAAACCGGATTAACCCAGTTTAAAACTGGATAATTTATTCTTTTGAAGACTATTATAAAGTCTAAGAAAGAAATAATAAAACACAAAAAAGTCGAAAGACAAACCCATACCACAAACAATTTGACTTTTGAAAAAAGGACACAACCAACAAAGCATAAGAAAAACCACAACAAACCCAACATAAAACGTTGTCACATAACAGGACCTCTCACAAAAACCGCATGCAATCATACTCCCACTCCTGGCCTAACCCACCAGGAAGGACGTCCTGAGCATGCTCTATAGCCGGCCTAACCCACCGTGCTACATCCACGCTTTGTGACCACACTCCTATTTTTAATAAGAGCTACTCAAGGGTGAGTAACTCTTCAAAATAACTGAACTAAAACAAAAAGCTTTTGTGAAAACAACTAACTAAAATCATAATTAAAAAATATTAAACTAATAAAAGTTTTATAAAATGTAAATTACATTATGCAATACATAGATCAGAATACAACACCAAGGACGAACATCCAAAGACAAAACGACCCTACTACACTCGAGAAAGAATGGCCAACTACAATCAATATGCCGCCCACAATCACAACTCAAAGGATTTAGAGTACGACTTGACTTCGCAGAAAAGGACTTCATTGAACTAGACCAATGACCACCTCGATGTTCAAGTATACGTACAGATCCGAGTAACCAGGCATCCCCACCACGCACAATCTCCACGCCATTCCCAGACAAGGTCAAACACAAAGAAGTTCTCACCAATGAAACAGAAAAACCTGACATAGCCAACCATTCTGAAATCAGATTTGAGTTTGTTGCGAAAACCCAGTCGTTGTCTTGAGAAGACACAATGATTGAATCTGGGACTTCTCTAATAAGAAAACCCAGAAGAAATAAGATGTTCGCCAAATACCAACGTCCATCATCCATCTTCGAATTGCAGAAAAACTATTCTAAAAAACTCTGTAAAACCCGGATGGGTGGAACCTGATCTAAACTACATTTTATGATTGGATAAATTAGATATTTTACCAATGTAAAGTATTTAATATTAACCAATCATGATCCATCTAACTAACAATCCACTTATTTGTAAGTGCTGAAATTACTTGTAATTTCAGCACCAGAGAGATTTGAATTTAACTTAGAAACTAGTTGAACTCTCCCGAGTACTTCAGCAGCCGCAATAAACCAGTATACCCTAGATCTATTGAGCCTAGCAGAGACTAGTTAAACAACCTGAGACTAGATAGTATAAGAGTAAGATTAGGATCGGTATTAGACTAAGAAGTTGCACGAATCTATCCGGCCGAAAATAAGATAGCGTGACGAGCAGACGGTGTACCCTATCCGAAATTACTCTATGAGTTATACACTTCGGTCCTAACTCACAAGCAAACTCTCAAGAGAGAATCGAGATAACGAAGTAACGAGCCAAATTAAACACGAAGAAAAAAGCAAAGAGTCAAGAAATATTCGAATGAAGCAAGCAAACTCTCAAGAGAAAATCGAGACATTGAAGCACAGAGTTGAATTAGAAACGAAGGAAGGAATCAAGGAGCCAAATTAAACCCGAACAAAAAAGCAAAGAGTCAAGAAATACTCGTATGAAGCAATCAAAGTGTCAAAAGAGAATTGAAAGAACGAAGTAACGAGTCAAATTACACAAGAAGCAAGGGATCAAGGAACCAATTTAAACTCGAAGAAAGGAAGCAAAGAGTCACCCACTTGATTTTGTAAAAATGAATGATTTGGCTTAGTTGGAAAAGAGTATAGGTAAACTATAAATAAGTTCTAAGATTAATTCATACCTCTCTCTTATTTGTTTAGGTGTCAGTGCTTGCACTGTGACAGTATTTATGCGGACAAGGCGGAGCTTTTTGAACACATGAAGAGAAAGCAGCATCGGAAGTTGAATGCGAAGAACACCATATACGACAAGTACTACATCATCAACTACCTGGTGAGTAACAACTGATTCTTCAGTCGAGGTCCCCCTCTTATGCCAAGCCTTTGAAAGTCGCTCCGCATGTCAATCCCAGACCCAAATTGCATACAGTCTCGACCTGGTTTGTAAAGACAATGCCGAAAATTGACAACATGTTTTAGCGATGTTAATGACCTTAATTTTTTTCATTTTGACGGAGTAAACTTAAGAGGCTCAAAATCATTATGACGTCAAAAGATTAACCTACTCATGGAAACCCCAGAGTTTCGACAGTATGAATCACTAAGACTTGACGATATTGCCAAAAATTGTGGATTAACTAAATCAGAAAACCAAATAAATTTGAAATTAAAGGCCAAACAGGGTCTTTTTAGAGCTTTAGAAAATGTTTTTGAGGTTTGGCTTTTTATTTATTTAAGTTCCGTTCTTTTTCTTTATTAAAATCACAACAAAATGCACTATCAAACAGCAAAATCATTAAGACCACGAAAAACACGAAAACCACGAATTGGGATTTAATTTCAATTTTCCTAGCGGAAGAAACACTTCATCCAATGATCCAATTTACATCATATAACTTCATTAAACTGCCCCAAAAACGAAAAAAATATGCGCAAGCTAACCACATGAACCGGTAAAAATGTCTTTGAGACAAATTGCTGTTTTTGGCGGTCAGCCTTTACCAAGGCTGAACCGAATTAGAACCAAAAAAACCATTAAAATAGGATATAACTCCCTTTTTTAGTATATTAAGACAAGGTCAGGTGGGGGAATCGAACCCACACCAACTGGCAAGTCTGTATAGTCGGCGTTACTGTAGCTTAGGACACTCGGCCATCCGTCCTCATTTTATATGATTTTATATGCATTTATACTTTTGTTATATATGCACTTATACTCTTGTTACATTTGCGTTGCAACATCCTCCCCCCCCCCCCCAGAAGAAGGGAGAACCGGAGCCAGCTTAACGGTCGGCCGAGTGACTTCACGGGTTGCGGTCTTAACAAGAGTGGATTGGGCGCAACTGTCATGTCCGTAGTTTAGCTTGACGAGTCGGGTGAAGGAGTAGTACCCACGCGGACTATCGGGCTCAATCACCCACACGATATTGCCTGTCTTAAGAGTGGAGTCAGAATGAGTGTGCCACTTGACACACTTATTCAGTGAGAGAGCATTTTCGCCAAGCCAACGAGACAAAATAGCGTTAGCATACGACTGCGCTCGCACGCACCTTTTCTTGTGGTCAAAGTGCTCCCCAGGTAAAAGCAAAGGAAAGCTTGTGGCGTGTTGTGCAAGGCAAAACTGGATTGGGGTTAATGCTTCTAACTCACGTGAATCAGTACTAACGGGAGTGATTGGCCTCTAATTCAAAGCCTGCTCAACTAAGCAGAATGTTGTTCCTAACATCTCTTCGGTGACTCGCCTACTGCCTAGTATATCGTAAAGTACGCGCTTTACTCTTCGGACGAGGCGCTCGCAGGAGCCGCCATGATGGGGTGCGCCTGACGGGTTAAATTTCCAAGCAACGTTTTTCTGTGCAAAAATGGTCTGCGCCATGCCATTCCAGCTCTTGATGCAGGCAAGTAATTCCTCTTCCGCACCAACGAAGTTCGTGCCGTTATCCGACCAGATCGTGCTTGTTGTACCACGCCGCGCAATGAACCGTTCAATGCCCATGACACAAAAACTAGTGTCCAGAGATGATACAGTCTCAAGGTGTAGAGCCCTGGTGGTGAGGCAGGTGAAAAGAAATCCTCATCTTTTTTCAGTGCTTCTGCCGGAACGTAAAGTGGTTCAAAGTATTCCACACCCGTATGATTAAAGGGTGGTTGCTTATATCCGAGACGTTCGACAGTTAAATTGGACATGATTGGCTGGATGATACTTCTTTTGCGCTTACGGCATGTTACACATTGATTTTCGATACACTGAAGTAGTCTACCCAACGCAAGTATTTCACATTTCATTTTTTTAAAAAACGAAGCGCATGTAATCTAAACTTTGATGAAAATGCTTGTGGTGGAGGCTGCGGGCTGTTTGATGGATGTGACATCGGTGACGAAGGAAAATGATGTCTCCACGCAATTATCGACATCAAAAAGAAGAAACCTTCAAACGAATTTTATTGATCGCACGTTCGTCGGGTATAAACAGGCAATCAGTAGTCCTGAGAATGCTCGGACCAGTGAGCCAGCTGCTATCCTTGAGGACTTCCAAAGAAATCGCCCGCGTATCGGAATCAGCTGGATTATCGCCGCTCAGAACATGGTGCCACTCATCAATGCTTGTCGATTCGAGGATTTCGCCGACACGGTTAGCCACGAAGACAGGTAATTTGTCACCGGAGTTTAGCCACTGCAAAACTGTAGTTTTATCTGTCCACATGTAGACCTGATTAATGTTAACGGTAATTGCTTTCAGTATATCATATTTCAGTCGAGTTGCGGGCAGAGCAGCTTGAAGCTTTAGCTTCGGTTTAGATAGCGCTTTCATGGGAGCAACGCGAGCTTTACCAAAGATGAAGGATGTTTGAGCTTTGTGCGAATTCGATTGTAGCATAAGCAAAATTCCAACGGCACAGAAAACGTCCTGCGAGCTATCACCGAACATGTGGAGCTCAGTTTGATCCACAGGTTCTGTGAAGTAACAGCGGAGAATAGTCAATTGCCCTAAGAGAGGGAGACCGGAGTGCCACTCGAGAAATTGACTTCTTATGTCTTCCGGCACTTCGTCGTCTCAATTTTGGCCACTGATTTTCCAAATATATCTAAGCAAAAGACGGGCCCTAGTTGAGTATGGAGCTACTAACCCAACTGGGTCAAACACAGAAGAGACGATACTCAAGACGGTTCGTTGACTTATTGCCTTATCCACAGGACAATTCTTGCTTCTGCTAACAACCAATGTGTCTTTCACATGGTCCAACTTAGGACCTAAGACATGTGATGATTGTTCGGCACCGTTACGTGTTTTTTTGATGGGTAAAGACGAGGTTTCGCAATGATCGGTGTTCATTGCCAAAGAAATTTTATCGGTATTACTGACAAATTTAGTCAAAATAAATCCTCCCAACTTGAGTAACGAAACCAAATCACGGCTAATTTTAATTGCATGGGTAACGTCATCGAACGAATCCAAGTAATCGTCCATTTAAAAATTTTCGTTTACGACTGATGCGGCCTCAGGGTATGTGGACATATTATCAGTTGCTGTTTTTCGCATCGCGAAATTGCGCATGTAGGCGAATCCCATGCGCCGAATATATGGCGAGTGTACTGGTGAATTACCACATCGGAAGTGGTATCCTCCAGTCACAAAAAATAGAGCGAAATTTGATTGCGGGCGAGGACTCCTACCTGGAGGAACATAACCTCTATATCCGCGGAGACGGCGTACTTGTGTCGACGGAATCTCAAAATTACAAAATTAACGTTTGGGGTAGGTCTGGACCCACCAATAAGGACTTATTTAAGGATGTGCTGTGAAACTTAGAAGCCCCAATTAGGGACTCGGCGGACCTTACCCGGCTTATTTGGTTTTACGACGGGATGGTGCGGAAGATACCGCTCGCGATCGGAACGCTTACGTGGATCATGCGGCTCGACAGTAACGACATAGACTTTCCTAATGTCCCCTCTAATTGTGTCTGCGTATCTTTCGCGCAGTTCAGAGTCTTAACTTAATATTCTCTCCAATGTTTTAAAATGGGCGAGTGACGAGTGATAATTGTTTGGTAGACTGACATTACTATCAATCCAAAGCATAGGCACAATGTATCTTTCGCCATTGTGAACGGTTTCAGAATAAAGGATGGATAAAGAATAATTATACGCGGCGGAACGGGCACCAATTTAATTGAAAGCACCATAAGACTCCAACACGTACCAGGATTTTATCTGATCAGTCAAGGAGGAATCTTCAACAACACACTTGAAACACAAAGTAGAAGCAACAGACGGCGGCAACGGACCACCTATGACCCAACCTATTGGTAGGCGAACGGAACATGGTGAATTATTATCATCTCCAAAGATTAACTCAATGAGTCTAACGGCGTGGTAGTCGTCTTGTCCTATAGTAACTTCAACGTCCTCATAAGCATATTGAGTGGACTTAATAGGTGCTAATCGTGGATATTTATTCTGCAAATCAGCATTAATGATTGTCTCGGAGCCAATCTCAACATTGTCTTTAACATATGCACGCAGAGGGAATACGAAATCACTATTATTCGGCTCGGAGGAAAAGGTAAACTTGAGACTCTCTGAGTCTCAACATTGGCGGTTGAATTGAAAACATTTATTGACAAGTTAACGGACTCCCCTACTAAGCCGAGACGGTTAACGAGTGACGAAGACACCTAGAAGTGTGTCAATGCACTATCACAAGGAACCAACATCAGAATACTGGTTACATCCGAGGACACACCAAATGTTGCAAATGACAACAACCCTATAGACGATTCAAAGTCATGTAAATCAATAACAGCGGCGTGGGTGGAAATGTTTGTATTCTCTGTGGACTTGTTTGCTCCAGCTTATTTGAGACATTTGAATTTTTCTTCCGAGGAAATATTTTTTTTCGGCTCCGTGGAGCAAGGCACTTTGTGTGCTATCGCACTCTGGCTTCTGGCATTTTTTTAAGCTCTAGAGCATTGCCGGAAACTAGGATTGTCGTTGAGGCAAGCGAAGCAAAACTTCTATTCAGCTACGTATTTCGCTCGCTGAGTAGCATTCTTTTCTCTGAAAACAGCGCAGTTCCACAATGCATGTCTACTTTCAGTTACCTTGGTGTTTGCTGCAAAAATTGTGGTTGATTTTGGCTTAACTGGTTCCTCGTTTTTTGCCTTACACGTAATCTCTCATGCCCCTCGCCCTTTTCTTTCAACCAGTTATTAAAATTTAAGAGTGTTGGGCGCTGCAAGTTATGCCTAACAGTATGCATTGATCAAGCTTCTTTGAGGTTAGGCGTAAGTTAACTAACAGCTTCGCTTAACAGGTTAACATTTTTTAGAT